GTGTAATTTGTTTTCGAGTCCTAAAGGCGTATAAACTTCATTGTCCCCAAAGTCATAGCGCCAGAAGTTTTATTGGGAAAGTTTTAAACTTAAGCACGGTAACTCCGTTATTTTTTGCTTAATTTCGTATTAGTTAATGCAAAATTTAGGTTAATAGTTTCCGATTTTGTATACTGTTAGGGAAACGAGTTTTATAGGAAAGCTTTTAAAACTTTTTTCTAATCGGATTTTTCATTCTTTCCGAGTAATTTCTTACCTGCTGTTCAGGATAAAGTAAGATAAAGCTTACTCGTGCAACAAATTGAAGGAGGTATACTTTTTGGATAAGAAGCAGCTGATAGCAAGTATAGAATTTGAAAGAACGGTAACCGAACTGTTATTAGCAACTAAGCAGCAATAAAAGCAGCTATTGATGTACGGAACTTGCTGTTGTCGTCCTGTTGACTTCTTCAGAGCTTATCTACTTTGTACATGCTTATATACTGGTTGAGGAGGGCTAAAGGAGGGACGAAGATAGTCTCGGATAACTGATCCTGATGAGGTTAAGATCTGAATCATGGCTAAGATTGTTTCGTTTCTTATAAATTTCTATGGATTCTCGAATCTTTTTTAGTAAAAATTTCAGTTTGGTCGAATAAGATTTGATGTCCGATTTCTTGATTTTGTTCGGCAAATTCTAATGAGTTTATTTGTCGTAGTTTTAAGTTCCTTTAGCATAGTTGATATTTTACATCCTGTGTCACCAAGTTATTCATGAAATGCTGTACGCACCTGATATGTCAAATTGAATTTTGTCTTTGATTTATCGAATATACTGGTTTTAATATTATATTTCTTTAGTTGTTCTCATTAGCATTTTAGGAGGTGGTGGTGAAGTGTATTTATAAGGAAAATTTGTCCGAAGGCAATCCCACACTTGCCACTGTGGTCTGTTTGTTACATTAAAAACAGTACATATCAAAAAAGACCTTCCTTCCAGCTTTGACAGAATGAAAAATATCAATTTGACTAAAAGAACCTTAAAGAACATTAACTGTATTATTAACTATATGGGAATCAGCCATCCAATTCCGTTTAGCTCCTATTGCGTCAAACAGTACGGAATAGAATGCAAAAATTTGGTGATTGGTGAAACGTCAGCAAGTTCGTTTGATCAACATCCGACTCAGGAAGAATCGGCCATAATGGCAAGGGAAGAACAGGGGACATAACCTCCAGAGTATATGTTGCATGTTGGGAAAAATAATATTATGCTTTAATATAAACATGCCACAAAACGCCAAAATCTGTAAAGAAGAAATAAAAAAGTCTTCCGAGAGTAAAATTGTTTAACAGTTTGTGAGTTGTTGTAAAATTATCCTATATTAAAATTTATTATTTCGGATTACTTCGTTTCTCCAATTTGTTTCATCAATACACTTCCTCTAACCGAGGTTAATATAAGAATGAATGACATTCAACCACCATTAACCTGAAATTTTATTTTGGGAATTTATATTTAAAAACGGCTTAATTTACACCATACTACATCATAATCAATTTGTTAAAAAAATTGTCTAACAAGCTTATTGTTCAAGTAACTTTCACTAGGTAACATAACGAACTCATATCATATTAATACATTATGCAACAAGTCTGGAAAACGGCATTTCAGTTGCGGGTTCATTTGGCACGAGCGAAGCGAGTGTTTGATAAACGAGTGCCCAATTATAAACACACATTTAGCGTGGGGGAAGCGCCACTTTATCACGTGATTTTCTTCTCCCACAGATCCAAGCCACTTCCGATATTTTCGGAGATTTTACCATGTTTTGGTTAGTTTTGGGTTGTTTTGCAAAAATGTATCCAAGAACTAACAGTCTTGGATATGGTATACAAAATGTTTGGTAAATTTCTTATGTCAAGCGTTTATTAAATACTCGCTCCGCTGTGCTCCGCTTGTGCCACATAAACTCGTGACTCAAATACCGTTTACCACACTTGTTGAATAATATATTATTACAAAATGTGAAACAATTATTTATATAATACTCTGTTTCAAGGTTCCAATGTCACGTTTATTCTAATAATTAAAAATGTCTGCTGTTAAAGGATTAGTATGTACTCGTATATTCATAAATTGTTTTAACGATATTTCGCAATAACATCGTGTCTTGTTTATTTTCTGAGAAGATCAAGGGATAATAAAAATATGATCAATAGTGTATGTCCTAAAAATCATAGTGCCAAATTATCTCACCGAGTCAAGCGTCAAAAATATTCAACATAATTGTGTGTTAAATTTCACTTTTTATCTTTCTGGAATATTTTTCTGAGATTTCTTTTCCTTAGTAAAAAAACACCACGTGACAGAAGTAGAAAGTAGAAACTTTCTACTGCTAAATGAATATTTTTTTATGTTATGTATTCAATGACTGATTACAATAATTAGTTTTAAATCAGCCAATCACTTATTTGACTTTGTAGTTCAAGCTATCTGTGTACTTTATTCTGTAAACTTTGATTTGATCGTGTTGAGAGGCATTTATCTCAAACTGGCGATATTATTATTTCTTCATAATTAAAGAATTATCTGTCACCGAGTACAAAAATCTTTCACTCAAACTCACTCACTCAGTCAACTGGCGATCTGGTCGCGAAATGCTAAAAACAAGATTCCTACACCGTTCCTCGTTTTTTTTTAAACACCGCTCGAGTTCGATTTGATGTCTTTTCTGTGTAACGCTTCCTGTCAATTGTGCCTCAGCTAGCGCGAGTAAAATTCAATCAAACGTTACCCGTTGATTGGACTAATCAATTAGCCTCCCTTATTACAACCTATCGGCGCCGTGTGACACTAATGGAAAGCCCTTTTGACTAGATGAGACTTTAATTCGTTTACCATAAAACTAAAATTGAAGAAACAAGCGCTAAAACAAGGAGCGAAAGAGATAGGGGCGTCCCCCGGAGTCGACGACAATCGAGTTATGGAAAAGATGAAGGATGAATCAGTTCCCGGGACAATTTATTGGCTACCAGTTTTTTTCCGCCGAATCTAATAAGAGGAATTGGGTTTACTTGATATGAAACCGTTTCGGTCGTCTTGTGCGGAAAGACGATAACACAGCTCGTTTGATTTCGGTTATATGGATGCCGGGTGCATTTATTCATATCTCGATGTCGGCAACATTGGGTTGGCACAGTTAATCCGTCTAATCTCTAACGAATTTCATGATTGGTCGAATTTGCAGACGTCCAACTAAATAGGCCATATTTCCGGTTGCGATGAATTTAGCTAAGGAAAGAGTGGGCTGAGGAGTGTGCCCTAAATATCAATGGCTTCTATGGATTATAATGTAATAATTATAACATGTGACAATTATATGATAAATAGTTAAATAAAACAAATTTGACACATTTTTAGAGATAATTCAAACTACATGCAAATAGATAATACTAATAACAAATACACAAAATAAGAAAATGAGTACACGCATATGAAATGAAATTTTGGAATAAAAAAATCGCTGAGTTTATTGCAAACTTCACGGTATTGCGGCATTTCTGCTATCGCTCTCTGTACTAGCAATATCCAACACCTTTTTACTTTCAAAAAGTCACTTTTATCACAAAAAACAAGCAAAAGCAGACATAGAACACGACGCGCATGAAATCGAGTTCAAAAATTGCATTGGCATTGGCATAAATTTTGCGAACGTATATTGACTTAAATTTATAATTTATCTGTGCTTTTGAATACATAAAAATCTTATTAGGGGTATAGTGTATCGGCAAAAAAACCCGACGGTGTTCAGTACTACCAACATTGGCTCAGCTTTTTTGATGTGGGGCAACATGCTCAGTATTTCGCTGAATGTGGGAGACAGTGTTTCAGTGCTAAAGCTAAAAGAAGTTAGAACTTGTTTATAGTGAATAATGAATAAATTTACTTTAAGAAGTGCGTTGATCAAAACCAAACCCGCGTAATCAAAAGACACCAAACTACTCGAAGAACACAAAAGCACTCACACGCGAGGGAGGAGCCCGGAGATGAGGAATAACAAGACGGGTTGGACGAAGCAACGTACAATAAAATGGTCTGAGGTCTGACTGTCTGTCTACAGAATACTTCACTTTAACGAGCGCAAATTTTACGAAGTAATACAACTATTAGTCTAGAAAAAATCATGTTCTTTTCCAAACTCCGTCTAATGTAAAAAAAAAATATTTCAGAACACTATGTTTAATTTACTTTTCGTTGTTGTGGTTATACGACGTCTTCCTTAGACTTTATGTGATCCACCGGAATTAAATAAATGTGTATCTATGCATCTGGTGATAACCACATTATAAGATTTTATTATTAAAGTTTTTTTGTTAGTTTTCTCTTCCGGTACGAACTAGAATTAATTGCCGCTACCACAAATTTACTTGGATAGCGAGGTAGGTTCCAAACATGTATTACCTAAAAGTAACAAATAATTTTTTATTTGTTTCAATATATTTATATATATATATATATATATATATATATATATATATATATATATATATATATATATATATATATATATATATATCAACCTGTATCAATATCAAGTTCTGGAAGAGTAGTCCAACAAAAAAGAATAATTCGGAAAATATAAAATTTGAAACTAGAGTCGTGCAGAGATGTTTTTGGAACTAAAAAAATTGGCAAAACATAATTTTTATATACATCAAAATAAAGAAAATTTCGAAACAAGATTTGATATCTACGACTATTCAACAACTCACAAAACATCTTTTAGTTGAAAGCATTTAATTACTGTTGCTATAAAAATCTGCTTCTCATTCCGGGCAAACACGCAAAAACAAACAAAATTAAAACATTTTATTTTGTATTTTTTAAAAAAATTTCGGCATATTGTTATTTTCTCTGACGAAACTTTGATTTGTTTGTTAGTTGAATGTTAGTATTAGTATAATCTACAGTCGATACATAATTCCAGTATGTTAACGGATTAATTCTTCTTTTGCAGGAATTTCCATGCACAAGGGCTACGCCTTCGTACAGTTCACAAACCCCTTCGATGCCAGGAGCGCATGTTTAGGAGAAGATGGGAGAACAGTACTTAGCCAAATTTTGGGTGAGTCTAAGATTTAAGGAGTATTCGAATCTAATTAAAAGCAGGAAATTTGATGAAAATCTGCTATTGACGGTATTAAGGCAAAAATATAATTTCAGTCGCTCACGAATTCGTGATGAATTGAAGGGAACGCCGATTGCTGTGGCATTAACTTCTCCCATTCGTCTTTGCTATGCAATTCGTAAACCCTAATGCTACGCCAAACGCCAGTTCCTTTCCAAAGACAATTATACCTTTGAGTCCGTTCCCGAAACATTAATAACAATATAGCGGAATTGCCCGGACTGCGTCTGCCTGTTCCGTGGCAAGAAACCATAACCTTAGTCAATTAAAATGACAAATTGTTCATTTACAATGGAATTCTAAAATAATTAAAACTTTGCTTGTTGTTTCGTACCAAGCGGCTCTAAAAGAGCGCAGCGTTGAAAATGTAATGCTTTTGGCTGTTTCACTAACCATCCTGATAATTTTGGTTAGTTTATAAAATTGAGCTCCAGCAAAACTACTAGTAGTGGTTTACCTTTGGTTAGTTTTGGATAGTTGTCCATGGCGAGGTCATAAATTCGGATTATACACCTAAAAACCAAAAGAATATTTTTTTTTTTACGCTATGAATACATTTGTTCAATCTATTTTTGGGTAGTTTCCTTATTGACTGAAAAGTTGTATAAATATAAAGATAAAAAATCAAACACACATACACATACACAAACACATTTATTGTGAGTGTTTTTGACGTTTGACCTAGTCAGCTAGGTAAGTTTACATAAACAGAAGAACAGGGAAAAACCATATTTTATAAATGAGAATCATACAGTCTATAAACATAATGTTTTTAGTGCCCAAAACGGGATAGAAATAATTTGCTTTAATGGAGTTGAGTATTGAATAATTTGTACTAAACGAATATGAGTTTCTCCTATCACCTATTTGCTGCGTTGTATTCCTTTGATGGAAATTTTTGTTATTCGTTAAAAAAAAGGTTTTAACATCTGGATATTAAATGTATGATTATAAATCTTACCTAATCTTCCTGGGTTAAGTATTCGTGATTCTTCAACTGAATTTTAAACTCTTATAACGACCCTGTCGATCAAACTAGATTACTGTGCCTAGTTCTTGGTTAGCTTGCTCCTTCTTCTATACTTGCTAAAGTATTGCACTCCATGTTTCTTAGGTTGGGTCAGCTTATGTGAGAGGTACAAATCTGCGTTTGTGGTAAAATTATTGACATTTATCAATTTGACCGTCAACAACAGAATATGAAAGGCGCTAATTTCTTCAGGTTACTCTAAAGTTGTGCAGCGTATCGGATTCTATCCAATCGTTTTGATAGGGTTACGCTGTTTATCTGAAGTAGAGGTCTTATTTGTCTTATTATCTATGATTTCTTTCGGATTTGTTGGTTCTTGTGCTTAATATTAAGTAGTCGTATAATGAAAATACAATGATGGAGTAAATACATCAATCTTTGCTAAAATAACGTTAGAAAGTGATTCAAAAGGAATTGGATCACACTGTATAAATATATACTCAAGAACCACCACTGCTATTAGGATCACGAAGGCTATAAAAAACGATCAAGTGTATATATTCTGCAACAGTGGAGTGACTTAATCTTTGGCTCACGGTGTAAAAACAATTTGTAATCGTTTTCGTGATAAGAACTCATCATGGGCAACCGACCCTGTACAGTGACATGGGCTGGTGGAAAATTATTCAGATTTCGAACAGGATAAAATTAGAATTAATAACCCTTTCGCATGTTAGCGGCTGTTTTTATAGATGCAACAGAATGCCATCCGCCGGTTTGCCGGCTAGGGGTAAAGATAAAAACCTTATATTACGGTACGCTACTCTTTTCCCAATTGTACTTTGATTCGAATAATTCATTACATAAGCTTACCAAAGATTACAGATTACCAAAGTATCTCTATTATAATCACGTAGTTACCATGAGCTACCCCCATTAAACGTGGAGGCAGAGGTCTTAAAATAAAGGATAGCAGAACAATAGCAGGAAGAATAGATGCGAGACCATGTCACCTTTTTTAGATGGTAGACCTCTTGATCGAGTGAACCATAATAAATACTTAGGTAACTAGATAAACGAAAGTAGGAACTCTGAAGCAGAAATCCTTACACCCATCAGCTTATCCCGCAAAGCAGTCATTTCTTGCAAAGCTATTCTAAACAACAGAAACTTTCTCATGCACCTTCGAAAAAGAGTGCCCAAATGCTATGTTTGGTCGGTGTGGCTGGACATAAAATGCTTCAATTATAAGCAAGTTAGAAATTATTTTTTTAGCCATGGTAGAAAAAATTTATAACTAACTAACAAAAACTAACTAGTTAATTAAGAAACAAGAAGAAATAAGAAAGGACATCCCTTTCTGAAGCATCGTCTGACCAACTTACCATTGCAACCAAGACAACTGTTGAGCAAATGATAGAATATTATAAATTAACAAATTGATATTAAATGAAAGTAAAATTAAGATGATCGAATTTTTAACACGGAATTTAAATTAGAGTTTGTTAGTAAGCTTCGGTGAAAGTACAATACAACAGAAAAGTGTTAATTTTTCAAAAAAACTTCCACAGGCTACTGTAATGCTTTTTACAAAACTTCTGGATTCCTGCTGCGAAACTGAAACTGTTGCAGTCAAGCTCTGAAGAAGCCAACAGGATGATTGGCGAAACGTCAGCAATTTCGACTAAGCAAAGACCGACGCAGGAGGAATCCAGAAGTTTTGTAATAAGCAACAGAAATGTGTTGTTCGAACAGGTGGATCCCATTCTCAAAAAGCTTTCTGTTTGGTGCTCCGCCATCAGGTTTGTTTCTCTTTGTTAAAAATGTACTATTTTTTTTATGTCTATTCCTGTCTCACCTACGCCGTGGCTTTTTGAGGAGGTTCTCTTACATCACTCTTTATTGACACTTCTTAGTAGATAAATACTAAGTAGTGCCTTTCATTAAGGTTAGAATATATAAAGATTGAAGGTATTCGAATACTTGAAAAATAAGGTCGACGTGATTCTCGGTGATTGCGATTTAATAGAATTCTAATTTCGTTTTTTGGTGTTTAAAAACCTTTACTGAGTGGTTAACATTTCTCCCTAGTGTAACTGCCTACTACATTTTAGAATGGAACAATGCAAAATAGACGTTTCTTAAGACTAAGTGTGTTCTCAACCTTCTAAGCTCTGAAAATCCCAACAGGATAATTGGCGAAACGTCAGCAAGTTCGATTTATCAATAACCGACCCCTAGAAGATTTAAAAATTAAAATATTTTCAAATTTATATTGAATTTATTGATTCTATTTTGTATTCATCGCAGCGTCACGAAAGATGGAGACAAAACAAGATAGAATAAATATTTTCACCAAGCTGCAAATAAATAGACTGGATTACAATGCTATAGGTTTACATAAATTTGAATTTCGCGCAAATCCCGCATCAAAATTTCTGACGGAAAAACTGCGGAACGCTTGTACCCAAAATATAGCTATCATTAAAACGGGGTCGCCGCAGCACAAATTCAGATAATTAAAATCGTATGTACCGAAAGTAGTTGCGCACTATTCAAATTAGTAGACGGTGTTAGTTTTAATTAGTAAATATTGTTTGCTGTTTTAAATAATCGGCCGTATCGGCATGGTAATTCATTCATACCATCGATTTTGGTTTCGCAAATACTATTAGCTCCGAAAACCGGCCTTTCCGTACGTAACAGCATTTGTAAATCCCGCGTTAATCTGTTTTAAATATTCTAAAAATTAGTTTAATGGATTTAAATTCGGTGGCTGCCGGATAAAATTGAATTACTCGTTTCATTTTGATTTTAAATTGCGGAAAGCGTTTTTATTCGTGCCGCACATTTGGGAACAATAGTGGGCGATCTGGGATGTTAGCCAGAGAGCTTTAATGTAAGGAGAGGTGACGGTAACCGTCTGCACCTTTGAAAGTGGAAGAAGGGTCCATTTTTGGTGTTCTTGCTTGCTTATAGACTAACAGAAATTGCTTTTGAAGAAGTACCTACATCAACACTTGTTTGTTATTATCATTTTGTTTATTCATTTTTTCAAATTGATTTGAAAAATAAATTTTACGTTGTATATTCAGAATATTGTCCAGTAACCTAAAACTTTATTACATGCTTTAAGTTTTAAATGAAAAGGCACTTAAATATCATTGTTTATTTTTATTAACTGTGTGGATCTAGAAATATCACAGAATACGAAAAGGAGTGTCGATAAAAATAGGGAGTACAAATATAAATATCCAAAAATATTTACATAAAACTTTTAACAAATTAATAACAAGTAGCATTGCCCTTAGCAGGAGTAACTGTCTGAACGCTATTAGGCTTTAGTAGAATTCAGGAATTAAACATTTTCTTGCGATTTAGTACATCGTTGTAGTAAAGTATGCTGAGGATCATTTTTTAGGCGGTCTTTCATTTTGTGCCACAGAGTCTCAGGGCTGCTAAGAGAATGAGACAAAACTTTCACGTCTGTGGAAAGATAAAGCCTCTGAATGGAAAGTTTTAGTTAATAACGATTTTTCTTTGGCCTAGTCGTATAAGTCCAAAAATAGAAAATTTATACCACAAACGTAGCTTATAAAAACTAAGACAACTCTTACTTCTTCTTTTTCTTCTTACTTACTTCTGAGTAAGATCACATCGAGTGGGCCCCCATTTACCACTTGATCATAAAAAATTAATCTATATATATTTTTTATAAGTACATATGATGGAAATTTTGATTTTAACAACTTTTTTTTTATAATGAAAATTTTAAGCTCCTTTAATTTAAAAATGGATTAAGAATCGACCGTAAGAATACATTAACGACTTCAAATTATTTGTTTATTTTCGTATTGTTAACTAACTTTTAAGTTAATAAATGAAAATTTAATCGATTTCTTGGTAAAAAAATCATGTATTTTTTATCGGTCACATGCTTTACACATTTAAGTTTAAGATTTCGGAA